TAATCCAGAATATCAGTGGTTTACTAGCGGTCTTGTTTCAAGTCTGGGAAAGGTAGGGTATTGGCTGAACCTAACGAAGGGAAAGTGCTTTATCATGTGTTTTTTTTTTTTTCAGAGGTCCAAGTCTGGTTCAGCAGTATAAATACGGCAGATTTGTTTCCCATTGGCATTCGCTCTCCAGCGTTGCTCAATCCAGCAGCAGGATGTGGAACATCAGTGAAGTGGTTTTCCAGCTCCCGACCTCCAGCGCCTCAGACCGCGTCCTCCAGCCCCTGTGGGACTACCTGCTGCTCCGCCACTACACCCTCATCTCCTCTCCGTTCTTCCCAGTACTGCTGGCCTTCTCCAGCTACATCATCTTCAGTGTCCCCTTCGCCGTGCTGGATGTATTGGGAGAGAAAGCTCCTCTGTTTAAGTATAAGATCCAAAAGGACCGGCGTCCCACTGTTGGAATGATGCTGAGGACTCTCTGGACGGCGGTCTACAACCATCTGGTCTTCGTTCTTCCAGCCGTGTTGATCACCAACGTGGTAATGCCTATGCCTCCTCTTCCCACCGTTGCGCCGACAGTATGGGAGATGTTTTCTGGCGGTTTGGGAGCTTTGCTGGTCTTTGACACCCAGTACTTCCTCTGGCACATGGTGCACCACAAAAACCCGCACTTATACAGGTGGGTCCATGCCATCCATCACGATTACATCTCTCCGTTCTCCTGGTCCACCCAGCACCTCAGCGGTGTAGAGCTCATGACGGTAGGCTTCTGGAGCAACATCGACCCCATCCTGCTGAAGTGCCATCCACTGACCGTCTGGACCCTCACCGTGTACAGCATCTGGATGTCTGTGGAAGACCACATCGGCTATGACCTGCCTTTTTCCCCTGGGCATCTGGTTCCATTCGGGCTTCTTGGAGGAGCGATGGCACATGACATGCACCATCAGAAACCCAGCAGCAACTTTGCACCTTTCTTCAGTCACTGGGACAAAATCTTCGGCACTGCGATCACTGTGAAACTGACTCAGAAAAGCGAGAAAGAGAAGCAGGTTGCTTGATCAGAAATCGGTTTAAATCTTTAGTCTGTGTAAATATTTGTATAAAAGTTGTATTTTTGTATTTGGTGTTTCTACTGGTCTGTCTGCTTTATGTACGGGTGAAATTATTAATAAACAACTGTTGTATATATATCTGTGTGGAACTTGTGATTTTAAAAACGTGTTTTCTTTTTATCTTCCGACATTTAGCTGTAGAGTGCAGAAGAATACACTGAAATACTGCTGTGATGAAACACTTTCACAAAGAAATTGATTGTTAATGTTAAAAATATATATTTAAAACATTTCAAAAATGCTTCTAGTGCAAATATTTGATAATGATCAGAAAAAACAAGTCAAAATGAGCTTGTTTTAAGCAAAATAATCAAATTAGCTTGTTTCAAAGAAAAGCGTCCATTATTTTGACTTTTTTCTGAAACCAAAAAAAATGCTTATAGAAAACTAGAATCAAGACAAAACAGAGAAGTTTAAAAAACATTTTTTAATTTATTTGCAGAGCACAGTAAACATGGAAATATTCCTTTATTTTAAAACATCTTTTTTCAGTTGCAGAAACCTCAAAGTGCCATCTGAGCGTCCTTCTAAAATGAGTGTTTTTCTTAGGTTGCTGTGTGTACAGTAGATTCAGTTATTTCACCTTTATGTCAAAGACCACGTTCTTTTCATTGCCTTTAAAGTGAAATATTTGAATATAAACATACAGTACAGTACTCAGCATTTTTAAGTGCGCCCCTCACAAATCTCTCTTTTAAATTCATAGTTTAATAGGAAGCTGTACATTGGTTTCATAACTGAAGCCAAACCTGGAGCTTAACTAACAAAATAACTTACGATAACTGTCCAAAAACGAGTACACCCAAATGTATATGTTATAGAAAAATATTAAAAACAAATAAAAAAGGAAAAATCAAGAGAAGCAAGAAGAATTTAGTTAAAATTTTGTAGGTTGTAATTTTTTTTTTGTAATATTTTGCTTGAATTTAATAGTACTGTCTTTCAATTTCTATATATGTTTGTTGACTAAAATATCATTTTAATAAATATATCTGTTTAGTCAATCTGTTATGTTTAAATGCACCAAAACACATTGCCTGTATTCACTGAGAAATGGATCAAAATATTCATTTTCAAAATGAATATTTCTCATTTTAGAAGAATATTCCAGACAGCACGTAGAGGTTTAACTCTTCATTTACAACTTAAAACCATTTTTTACAGTGTACACTATAACTAATTCCCCAGAAGTCTGTAAATCTCAGTTATTTAATGAGCTGCAGCAAGAAGGTGGTAGTACATAAGAGCCCTTGTGTTCCCCTTATTACCTATTTGAGTTTCAGATTAATTATGCTTGGTCTTATACAAAACCACATAATATCGCATAACAAACCCGATTACTAAGCTGATGCGGTTTAAAAAGGAAGGCATTTCCGTAAACCTCAAAGCTAGCACTTTACACAACATGATTATGAATTAGCTTGTTCCAGGCTAAAAGATCACATTTTCAGATATCACAGCAATATTTTCTTCATTTCTTTGAGAATTGGATTGATCAAGTATTTTGTTCATAAAATCACCTTAAAATGAATAAATGGAGATGACTGTACATGGTGCAAGCACTGACCTACTTATAATAAAAATAGGACTTACTGTGGAAACTTGGAGAAATGTCATATGTTTCATAATGTTTCAAAAAAAATCACTAAATCATTAATTACATGATGCTGATTTAACATGGATTGACCACTTAATATGTAAAGGAATGAGACTTTTTATTAAGTGATTATATTTTAAAGTAATCAATACAATAACATTTAAACGTGGTCTGTGAGATATGTTCACAGAAGCTGCAATTATTGATTTATTTATCAAGTTTAAATTAATTGCTTTTTATTTTAAACTAATGCATTTTAAAATGTTATTTATTCCTGTCACAGCAAAGCTAAAATTTCAACAGCCATTTCGTTAGTCTGTAATCCTTTACATACATTCATTTGGTGCTCAAGAAATCTATCTTCTTTAAAGTGTTGAAAACGGTTGCCACTAAAAATTTTTTTAAGGGATTTATTTCCTTTTTAAAATAATAAATGTCTTTAAAGCAGTTTAATGTTTAAAAATGTTTAAAAATGCTTAAAATATTTCATTATTAACAAATAAAGATGGGGAAAAGTTCAAGAAACTGGCTGAAAAACAGAAAAAATGTGGCCTGTAATAAACATTTTTTTCAAAACATCTATGTGTACAAGCTTTTATGAACGAGATAATTCCTTTAACAGCACTAATAAACATTATAGGCTATACTGGCCTAGTTATGTGCATTATGTCATGTGTTTTATATAGAAATTTGATACAGACACCACCACACTTATACAAAATCCACATTAATACATGAATAAATAACTTACCATTTATTTTATATAAAAAAGTTATCTTTGAGAATCTATCATCTGCCTAAATACCCAATCAGAGGTTACCATAAGTCATAATAAACTCGCTTACTCTCAAAACACCAAAACAACCACAACAGTTTTATTAACAAATTAATATATCAGCACTGCTTGTAGGTCATGTTAGAACTTGCCAGTTGTAGAACATATACACATTGACATATCGTCACCTTAGAATTATAAGTTTCTATCTGACATTTTTGGCAAAATTTAGTTATTGACTTATTCCTATTAAATGACAACTTATTTACATTATGGGATGCTTTTTAAAATTCGTTTACATTTTAAGATAAAAAAAAAAAAAAACAAGCAAATGTTACACACATACCATTTGCTATGGTATGCAAAAACTAACAAAAAGCAGATAGAACCTTATAGTTTCAAGGTGACGATTTGACTCAAATTCACAGATTTTTAACAGTTGTAAATTAAATCACACTCAAATGCACTACTCAGACAATACGCTATTTCAGACACACTGCTGCTTCATTTGTAAATAAATCAGCTGTTTTGAACAAATCACTGATTTTGTTTAAATGAACAATTCAATAAATCACTCCTCAAGGACTTGCTGCCATCTACTGATGGATTGAATGTTATGAATGTTAAACAAGTAATCTAGCACAAAAAACACACTAATTGATTGGTTACTGCTACAAAAACAGTTGTAAAAATGAGCAATGTATGCATTGTAATTACTGCACACCCTGGTAGCACCTGTTCACTGCTCTAAATTCAATGTTTCCAGCCAAAACTGAAATATCCCATAAAACATTTTCAAATCAAATTTCCAGAAAAAAACAACACTCCCTGATGAACAATAATTTGCAATAATTTGCTGCTTTAGGAAAACTGTGTGCCTTTTTTATTAAAACAAATGACTTGTGTACACTAAATGCAGTGAATATGTGGTAGTGAGATAGTAGTTCCTTTGGAGCACAGCCACTGAGCACACTTTGATGTGCAATTTTAGAATGACCAAAAGAACATTTCAGACGTTGTACAATGTGATCAGCTGGTTTGACCATTAATGCAGTCTTTGCATTCTTTTTTGTCATCAGATGATCTCTTAAAATAAAATCATGCGATTTTTCTGATGATTTATATGGGCTGAATTGAAATAAACAAATTAAATTTACTCATTTTCAACCTAATTGTTTGTTTAAATTCAGCATAAATAAATTGTTTACAAACATCTTTGTGAATTATCTTTGAAATCTTTTATTTTTAGTTTAGCTTATGCACATTTTTTATTGAATAAAAAGTTTATCCTACTCAGTTGTTTCCATTGAACATATAATAACATTGCAATGGTCCAAAATGCGCATAAAAACAGGTAAGATGTAAAAGGGTTTTCATACAACCATAAAAATAACCCCTAATAAAACTTAATTTTTTCCTCACATTTCTTCAGGAACACATATATATATAATAGTTTATACTGTATATCATAAATCAGAATAGAAATTGTAGTTCTTTTAAATAGCATATCTGTACAGCACAATGTCTGCCATTGATAAGAATGTAATTGGATGTAAATTCTTACAACAATTACAACATTTACAGGAGACAAAACAACAGAATTTGTAGAAGAAAAATAAAATACTTGCACACAAATTGCTCTCACATATGGGCTACATAAACGAGGAATTTAGGTTTGAATAAATGAGCAAATAAAATCAAATACATTTTGTACATCTATCAACTGAGCAAACATTTCATAATGTGATAATTTAATAAATACTAGTATATTTAGTTGAGAGAGTTTTGCATTGCTATATTATACTGTATGTTACCTCTTGGCCTAACTACATGCACACAGTTGCATTATAGAGGCCACAACAGTTTTCAAAATAAATTGTGGCATTTGCCACTACACTCCAGGACCCCTCAAAAGAAACCGTTCCATTGTTGACAGTGCTGCAAAAAAAAAATCAAAATACATACAATTAATAAATAAATAAGAAGACTGGTGGTGGCTGAGTAAATATTTTCCATAATCAATAGTTCAGTCCAGGAGGCTTGTGGATGATAGCAAAATAATGATTTTCTCTGCCCCTACCTTTTAAAAAGATCATAACAGCAAGTTTCAAGGTTGGCTGTAGTAGGTTCGAAGACTGCATTTTGAAGCAGACCCACACAGTCTAGGGGAGGAACGAAAAGGATACCTACAAAACAATGAACACAAACATACAAAATTCTCTCAACATACATTTATATTGACTTCATATAAAGCCACAGAGAATATTAGACGGACAAAACAGTTGAAAATGAGAAAAATAAGGTCGTTTAAAAGTGAAGATTAGTTAGATGTATTTGAATTCACATCAAAATGCAATAATTCATATTCAAGAATTTCCACTTAGCCAGGAGAGAGGGTTGAGCTTATGATAACCTTGAGTCCTGGGTTCCCTCCCATTAAGAAGGGATTTTGAGCTCAGGTAGATCTGAATGAACTCCCCCGACTTATTTCTGGCTGTTTACAGATACAGGGATGGCTAAGATGATAAACAGCTTGCTAAGAGCTTGACTATGGTATTGATGTGGTATGTTCAATTTTGTTTGTTTTTGGACTGTAAGAGGAAACTGGAGAACCCGGGGACAACACACAAGCATGGGGAGAACAAGCAAACTCCCCACAGATGCTCCACTCCATGCGCGATACGCATTTTTTTAATTTAATAACCAGTAAGCTTTCTCACTTTGATTCCTCTTTGGACCAAGAATAAAGATTTAATGTTATTTAATCCCCTCACTGTGTAAAGTGATTTGAGTGTCCAGAAAAGCACTATATAAATGTAAGGAATTATTATTAACATTGTTTACATTATATTTTTTTTCATTTTCTTTTCGGCTTGGTCCCTTTATTAATCTGGGGTCGCATCAGCAGAATGAACTGACAACTTATCCAGCACATAATTTACGTGTGACACCTTAAAACTAGGATATTTTCATCCAAGGCTATCCAACCGTCAGAATCTTATACCGCCCCATGCAGAGAACTGACCAGGATGAAGATTAAAGCTAATAATATTGTAAATAGTGTTCAATTTGGCGACGTGATAGTGCAGTATGTAGTACTGTCCCCTCACAGCAAGAAGGTCGCTGGTTCGAGCCAGGTGGCTGTGTGGAGTTTGCATGTTCTCCCCACATTTGCGTGGGTTTTCTCTAGGTGCTCCGGTTTCCCCCACAGTTCAAAGACATGCGGTACAGGTGAATTGGGTACGCTAAATTGTCCCTAGTGTATGATTGTGAATGAGTGTGTATGAATGTTTCCCAGTGATGGGTTGCAGCTGGAAGGGCATCCGCTGCGTAAAACATATGCTGGATAAGTTGGCGGTTCATTCCGCTGTGGCAAGCCCAGATTATTAAGGGCCTAAGCCGAAAAAAAAAATGAATGAATGAATAATGTTCAATTTCTTACACGGCCGCCCATGACTATTGATTTGACCATTGACATGCCATTACATGAATGAGCTAAAAGTATAACTATATAATATATATTTATTCTATTTCTTTTAAAATTATATAATATTTGACTGTGTGAGAACAATCGAGGATCAAAGCATGACCTCTCTGGACAGAAACTTAAAATATGGATCAATCGCTTGCTTTTTTACATGTCTAATTATCTTGTTAAATCCCGCCCCTTTTTGCAGCGCCATACTACAGAATTTCGCAAGTTCAAAGTCTAGTGTGACCGCAGCTTTACCTGTAGGTTTCAAACAGGCCTGAAAGTTTGATCAGGTGTGTTTAATTAGGGTTGAAACTAAACTGTGCGGAGTTGCAGCCCTCCGGGAACTGGCTTTGACACCTGTGCTTTAAATCAAGCAAAAAAGTTCTGAAACTGAACAGCCCACAAACCACCAGTTTTACTCCTGTGGCAAATCCTCAGGGAATCGATCCAGTAAGTTAATGTGTAAATTTGAAAAAAATAATGATACATGAAGCTGTGATGTTGGCTTGACTAAATATGAAAATAGATTTTGATAATAACTGATGTCTTACCAGCAATACAGGCATTGATCAGAGAAACACATGTGCCTGTGAACAAGGCTCTGAGCACTAAAGAAGAAATTACTCCCTTCTTTGGTGGACAAATAGAGGCTGTGAAACAAAACCATTTTTAAAAAGTATCAGTCAGTGATGTTATATAAATATCTACTGAAAAAAATGCCCAAAAAAATGTCATAAGATGCATTGTCAGGACTATAAAAATTTGAACAGATACTCACACAGGCCTCCAATCACAATTCCAAGAGAGCTGAAATTAGCAAAGCCACACAGGGCATAAGTGCAGATGATTTCTGACCGAACCTGCAAAAAGTTTGGACAAAACACATTTAAAGAGATTTATTTTTTCCAACTACGGATGTAGTTGTTGTTTCAGGTTTGCAACATTCTTCAAAATATCCTCTTTTTGTATTCAAAAGAAAAAATAATCTCATAAAAGTTTGGAGCTCTTTGTGGGTGAGCAAGTATTGTTTTTGAGGTGAAGTATCCATTTAATGCACCCCACAAACCACTAATTATGTATGTTAATGGCAAATTTATGCATATTTTGATGAGCCCACACAAATACTTACTGAGATCCAATTTGGATCTCCGTTGTCATCTAAAATGCCATTAAGCCTGTTGTTTTTGAGCTCTGACAGCTTCTCGTAGGCTATAAACTCATTGAGGAAGAGTTTAGTGCCGATGAGTTCAGCCACTTTGAAAGACTCATCGTATGGAATTCCCATCATGAAGGCCACCGGCATGAAGACAAAAGAGCAGATCAGCTAAGGGATTGAAGATGAACATGCTTTTAGAACACTTTTAAATATAAAGCCAAAAATATAGCTGTGAATCACAAGTCTGAACTACATGTTAAAATAAAATAAAATTTAAAAACAGTTATTGTCATTTCTAATAGCATTTTACAATTGTGCTGTTTTTTCCACTAATGATTTTTGTTAAATAAATATAACCTTCTTCAAAATAAATATCTTACTATATAATATATTAAAGGGCACCTTTATTGCCTTTTTTTGCAAGGAAACTGGGATTAAAATATCTGTTACAACTCCCTGTGATTTTTATACTATTTATAAGTTTAAAACATTTTTAAAACATCATATTTGGAATAAAGACAGTAAAATCACTATCTAATTCTTAACTGCTATAATCACCATAGCCACATGGTGTCAGTAAATGCTAAAATGTCTGTGTGTGTGCGTGTGTGTGTGTGTGTGTGTGTGTGTGGGTGTGTACTTCAAACAGCAGTTGTCTGAGACTCATCATTTCAGAAAGGCTTGAATAAACTTCACAAATTCATTAAAAAAAAACTTACTTGGTATTTTTGACTAATGGCTAATTATTTCAGCTACAACACAGTGAATAAACAGCACATGCACTGTGCTGTTTATCTGACATAATGCATGATGAGAAGCAGACACACACGTGGGAGCGGTGGGTGGTGAGAAGCAGCTCATTTGCATTTAAAGCCACAGGCTACAAAAATAGCTACACTGTATTCAGACACCAAAATGGGCAGATTCTGAAGGCTATAATGAATAATCTGATAGGTATTTTAAGCTGAAACTTTACAGACACATTTTGGATACTTATCTTACATCTTGTAAAAGGGGTAAAATAGGTGCTCTGTAATAAATGAATCAACCTTTAAAGTAAAAATTAAAGCACTCATGTGAAATTTGAATTCTTTAAAAAATATTGTTAGAAGGAGAGAATATTTCTTTCAACACATTTTTAAATATAATGGTTTTTAAACATAAAAGCATAATGGTTCATTTGTAATGACCAATTTCAGTTGTCTGTATATTTTGCTAGTTATTTTGTAAGACACTAGTATTCAGCTTAACGTGCCATTTAAAAGCTTAACAAGAGATGAATTATGTTAACTAGGCAGCTAATTAGGGGGATTACTGATTTGCTCTGTATCCAATTTTTTTTAAAAATGAAAAGGAGCTAATAAGATCAACATTACCAATTTTTTTTAAATCCAGCCAAACTAAAAGAAATAAGACTTGAGAAGAAAAATACTATATTAAATACTGACTACGTTTACATGGACATCAGTAATCAAATTATTTGTCTAAATCTGAATAAGACAATAATATGATTGGGGGGGGGGGGGGGTGTATTTTGCGCTGTCGTTGTATTTACATTGTCATTTTACCACTGTTGTATTTGCACTGTCTGGAGCCAGCAGCTAAGCTTTTCACTCATCATATTGCACGTGCTGCTGCTCATGTGACCTAAAAAGTGATTTGATTTGATTATTTGATTAACATCACTGCGTCATCCACATTTCCTCTGGAGTCTTATGTAATTTGGTGTTTTATTTTTAATTTGTCGACTTTAACTGCAGTTTGGCACTTTCACTTTCATTCAGGAACATTTCTTGCATGCCCCCATGACAAACGAGATATTGGATGCAAGGATGAACTGCTAGAAGAGTGTTGTTTTAATGGAAAGTGATACCGCATGAATGGGGAAAAACCTCCACATTTCACAATGCAGGTGTCTGTGGTCCTTCACTGACTTGGTAGGTGCAGAGAATAGTGTCAAACAGCTGTGTGTATAAGCTATCTTGTCACAAAATGTGGCAAAATTCCTACACTACGGTAATAGTTTGAATGCGGTGCTTACTGGACTGCAATTCCATAATGCGACTAAAATGGGCATACTCCACGTGTCTTAATCTGAATTCTGTTTAGTTCAATTATGACTTTAATTGGATTAAATTAATAAAAAATCACTGTTTACATGGTATGTAAACAGTGATTTGTACAAAAATCTGAGTATTGTTGTCCATGTTAACCTACTCACTGTGAAAATGTCATTGCTCTGTTCATCATCACTTTGGAAATATTTGAAACAGAACTAAAATTTCACATGCAGGAGGACTAATAATTTTCTCTTCAAATGAAAAAAGATTATGCTACACACCTCAAAGGTGACATCTGGGTATCCCACCATGCCCCCCAACCATCTTAGAGTTGCATTAATGAAGCCCAAGATGGCAAGAAAAGCAATCAGGTTAGCAGCAATGTTGGCCACAAGCCCTATAGAAGCAGACGCACCGCCGCTAACAGCTTCCAACACGTTCTGCTCACCTCTGAGAACAAACAACATGGCATTACATAAAGATATTTCTACATGACACACATGAGAAAGACACCTTAACTCATATGTGAGAGGTAAACCCACCCACTGTCCACTTTAATTTGACTTTTAGATGTGAACTTGCTCTTTTCCGTTTCAGGGTAGGACAGTTTGGAGATGGCTAAAGCACATGGAGCAGCCATCACTGAAGCAGAAATCAAAGACGAGGCATCAATCTGTATACAAAAGACATTCATTATCCCAAAACATACTGTAGTAATAACCAAACCTGATCATTTTTAAGTTAAATGGGTAAATGTTTTTTTTTTTTTTTACATAGTTGATTTTATTGCCTTGGTAAAGTTAAAGGTAACAATTAATGGCTACTGAACTAGCATCACTGGAATCATGCTAAAAACAATAAGCATTCTGTTAACCCTTGTGCACTGTTCAATTTTACTACACTTTTGTTATGTCAGGGATCATAACATCCACTGAATTAAACTGCTGTAAAAATGCATCAGATGAAGATTTTTTTCAAATTATTTGCATAAATCTGTTAATCAACCTCAGTCCTGTTCAAAACTACTGTGCTAAATTGTTTAGCAAATTACAGGATTTTATTTCGTTAATTGCGAAGTTCACAAATGACAACGATGTCACTGATTTGGTGAAAAAACACACAAAGTGATGTATTTTAATATAAAAGGTAATTGTTTATCAAAGTCTTGGACATGTGAAAGATTAGTAACAACACTGGCTTTAATGCATTTTTAGATTTTTTTTCTCCCTTATTTACTGTTGGTGGCTGTTTTTGCCCCATTGACTTCCATTATAACCACATTTGATGGTGCATAAATAAAGGAATAGTGCCAAATGATGATTAACAGATTTATGCAAAACATTTGCAAATATTATTTGTCTGATGTATTTTTACAGCAGTTTAATTCAGTGGATGTTTTCATCGCTAACATAACAAAAGGAAAGTAAATTTAGCCCAGAGCTTATTGTTGAGTTTTTTTTTATCAAAGCATTTTCACAAAATATTTCAAAATAAGATTTGTCACCAAAAACCATTCTGCTAGCTGAAACACAGAAAACGTAATGGCCAAATCAGGACACAAAAATCACTTCAGAGTGAATGAAAGCATCCCCAAAAGAACATAAGGGTTAAAGATGGCATTGATTTTAACAGTAAAAAAGTGTAAAATTGCTACAGAGGAAATTCTGTAGCCTGGTTTAAAGTCAGTTTCCCTAATATACAGTATATGGTGAATAATCGTAAATATACATTTTCTGGAACTCCCTGGATAACACTTCACTCCTTCTGTTTTTGACATTATAGTTTTTTTGCTCATTTGTATTGCATTACTTCAGTGTCATGTGTTTTACCATGTAATATAGTAAAACTGAAAGTGTTAAAATACAGTATCTACTGTGATATAATTAAAAATATATGTTTTGCAGTTTCTAATTGTATTTTTAACTGTAAAATTCTGGTAACCAGGGGTGCGTTTCCCAAACAACGACGTAACTCACGGCTGAACTATCATAGTACGATGCATCAATTGGGAAAAGAACGGTGTAGTGACAAGTGTTTACCAAAACGCATAGTTTCCCTGTTGCAGATCCATCGCTTAAACCATGTTAGTTATAGAGTAAAACGCCCATAATGACGTTCTAAATGGGGCGGAGGAACTACTTCTTTAGAGAAGAACCTCATCATTTCTTTGTGCAAATTATATTGTTTTACACAAACACGCATTTAAAATAAAATCCAATGTTAGTTTTGGTAAAAACATGCACTCGATTTCCATATTAACCAAATTATATGCAAACGCCACATATAGAGCCTATGTTTCCTTTACAAATATGGTTGAGAATATGACAAATCCTATTCTAAAACATATCACCTACAAAAGCTAACACGTAATCTAATATCATATATAAATCATATGAATAAATAAATAATGAGGCTATCTATTATAAAATTAAATGTACTAATATTTATTATATATTAGGAAATTAAATCTTTTTAAATAATAATATTAATAATACTAATTATGGTCATAATGAGGATGACTATGATGATAATTATTATTATTTTTATATTTAAGTATTAAAAATGAAAAAAATCATAATTTAATAATAATATTAATAATATTAGTGATGATGATGATGATGATGATGATGATGATGATGATGATGATGATGATGATGATGATGATGATTATTATCATTATTATTCATATAATTATTATTATTTTCATTATTAAGAAAAGTATAGTTTATTTATTTTTTATTTATTTATTTTTTTGAAAAGTGTACTTTTACAATTTAACACTTGTTAACCATTGCAGAATGTTCTAACCAGCAGGCCCATGTCATATAGAGTAAAGATACTTAATTAATAACTCACTATAAATAAAAAGAATTATTAATTCATTTTCTTGTCGGCTTAGTCCCTTTATTAATCCGGGGTCGCCACAGCGGAATGAACCGTAAAAATTTTTATGCAGTGGATGCCCTTCGAGCCACAACCCATCTCTGGGAAACATCCCCACACACACACACACACACACACACACACACACACTACGGACAATTTAGCCAACCCAAATCACCTGTACCGCATGTCTTTGGACTGTGGGGGAAACCGGAGTACCCGGAGAAAACCCACATGTATGCAGGGAGAACATGCAAACTCCACACAGAAACACCAACTGAGCTGAGGATCGAACCAGCGACTCAGCGACCTTCTTGCTGTGAGGCGAACGTGCTACCCACTGCGCCACTGCATCGCCTATAAAAAGAATTAACGTGTGACGTAACATAAAATCCGTTATAAATTTTAAATAATAGATCACCTATAGCTTTCGCTTGAGCCTGCGTTCAAAATGACCTTAATTTTTTCAAAGTGCACTGCGAAGGGAGCGCAATTGTAAACATGAAGATTGCTAAAACTGAACTGTAAAAATAGTTTGAAAGCAAATTACACTGAAAAGAGATGACCTTAATTCTTTATTTTTAATTCTTTATTTTTAATAATTCCAACTTTGAATGTTAGAATGTTCTAAAAGAATAGGGCATGGGGAGATAAGTGGGAATAGAACACAGCCAGGAACTATGTTTCTAACGACAGCTCCAGAAGTGTGGTTGTGAGTGCTTAAGTTTGCAAATGTTTGTTGGAGCGATGGATTTGGGAAACGGCAAATCAACAAACCATTCTTTTAATGACGGAACTTGCGACCTTAGTTGGCTAACGATGGTTTTGGGCAACGCACCCCAGAGCAACTGTTTTTTTAACTATAGATTTACCGTAATTTGTTTACAAGTGTAAATGATAGTAAAAAGGGATTTCAAATATAAATTTTACTAATTAATAGAAGTACAAATGTCATACCCCGAATGAGATGAAAGCACCCATTACACTTCCAGCAATGGTTGCAAATCCACCAGTCATCACTGCATGAATCTCAGATTTGGTCATGTCCTTTAGATAGGGACGGATCAGAAGGGGAGCCTCTGTCTGGAACAAAACAAAACAAAACATAAGAACGTTACGACAGTGATAATAGTTACAATCAATGAATACATTGTAAAATAAATGTAACTGCTAAATTTTATCCCTCGTGTCTGCAAAATCAATCTCTATAATATATTTGCATTCTTTGGATTAAAAAGAATTGTTGTTTAAAAAGCAGCCTTGAAGTACTATTACTAAAAAGTAATACGCTGAAGTAAAAACTATAGTAAAGTAACAAACTAAAACCACAGTCCATCTCACAAGCAACTAATGAGTAAATATGAAAGTTTTTTTGTTTAGTTTTTTGGGAATGGTGCCATGTTATTACCATGTGTATACTGTATATATTCATGAAAGCATGCTATTTGAGAAGTATTAGAAGTATATGCCAGTATTAATTCCTTTGAATTGAATAGAATAAAATTCAGATTAATTACATTTGAATGTATAACATTGAAAACTTAAATTAATTGCATAATTATTTAAAAACAGTCTAAATTTACGACACTTGTATAATTATTCCTAACAAAACAAAATAAATATTACAATGGACAGTTTTTAAATTTAATTTAAATTAAACTTTAACATTAGCTTAACATTAACCAAAAACTGATTTAGACATACATTATCAAAACAATTCTGCTCCAAATATGTGTGACATTTGCGTAAAATCGTAAAAATCGTTGCGTAAAAGTGTTATACCTTTATAGATAATTATACAAAAATAATTTTAACACCTGAAGGCACACACAAAAAAAAAAAACAATTGTGATTTTGAGGGCATTAGAACATTAGCAAAGTTTTGTTCCCTCACCAAATTTTTTGATTAATTTTTTAAAGATAAATCCCTGAACACATCACATAAGGAATAAAGGAGCATCTTTCTCGAGAAAATGCTTGATGCACCTCTAAATTTCATAAGAGTTGTTTTAGAAAATTTGAGTCTATGGTGTAACTAAATGTTCATTCATTCATTCTTTCATTCATTTTCCTTCGGCTTAGTCCCTTTATTCATCAGGGGTCGCCACAGTAAAATAAACTGCCAACTTATCCAGCATATGTTTGTGTGCTGTATGTCCTTCTAGCCAAAACCCTGTAGTGGGAAACATCCATACACTCTCCATTCACACACATACACTACAACCAATTTAGTTTATTCAAGTCACCTATAATGCATGTCTTTGGACAGTGTGGGAAACCGGAGCACTCGGTGGAAACCCATGTTAACACAGGGAGAACATGCAAACTCTTCACAGAAATGCCAACTGACCCAGCTGGGACTTCTAGCTGTGAGGCAACAGTTCTAACCATTAAGCCACCATGTTGCCCCTTAACTAAATGTTAAGTGTAAATCTTTATATAGTAAGACATTTAATATTTTTTTATACATTTGTGTTTTAAATGATAACGTGAATCACAGAACTGATGACAGAATATTACCTGGCCAACAAAGATGTTTCCTGCTACACTGAGAGTCTCTGTGGAGGATGTTCCCATTGTTACTTGCATTACCCAGGAGATCTTGGAGAAAAAAAGTACATTCATATTCATTTATTAATGTTAACACGATCAAGAACAGATCTTGTATAGCACAGATTAAATTGCTACAAGACTGAAATGAGTTACCTTTGTGATGACCCACTGCATCACCCCTAGGTAGTACAGAACTGACATTACACTGCTGAAGAACACCACTATAGGCAGAGCCTGTAAAGATTGAGTAACATTCAGGTGAACCAATCTTTTTGGATTTGACACATACATATAAATAAATAATGGATTTGAAAATAACAAACCACCAAAACTGTGTTTGTGTAGAAAGGTAGAGGTGTGATGCAAATGTTTAATTCATTAGTTTACCAATCATTCACCGTGGTAAACGTGTTTTTTGGTGATTAACCATTGTTTGTGTAGTCATGCAGACGTGAGTTTTCAATTAAAGGGACAGCTTGCCCATAAAAGACAATTCTGTCATCATTTACTCTCTCTTCACTTCCTGTTTGAGTTTCTTTTTTCTATTGAACACAAAGGAAAACTAAAGAGTGCTGAAAAAACAATTATTGACTTCCATAGTATTTTTGTTCCTGTGAATGTCAGTGGCTGCTTTCCCCCCCCCCCAACATTCTTCAGAACATTTTGATTTGTGTTCATAAGAAGAAAGAAACTCATAAAAGTTTAGAACCACTTCAATGTGAGTAAATGGTGATCTGTTTAATTTAAGTTTTGATTATGATTTGTTTTTTAAATAAAAGTGGCTGGTGTTTTACTGTCCCTTGTGCTTATTCCAGCTAGAGACAGCAGAGAACACTAAGTATTTGGAGTTTGGCTCATTTTATCCAGTGAGCCATTATACTAACCTGGAATGCAAATATGTTGTCAATGAGGTTTCCAAACACAAACCCGGAACCAGCTTTTGTGTAGTCCAGAAAAATCTAAAAAAAAAAAGCAAGAAAAAAGCACATGGTTCATCACTTTCTATTTTATCCTTCTTCCTTTTTGCTTAAATAATCATTCATCTTTGTCTGACTTCAATATGTTACCACACAGAGTGTAACATATTAACTTTAACATTTAAAGAGGTATCTTTCAGGTGTGATGGACAATAATTTAGTGTGCATAATACATTACAAACATATAAACAAACGATTGCTATTACCTTATAAGGATGTATTTAAATCATACCTGAACTTGCTTTCCGAGCCATTCGAATGCAACGAGACCAGGCTCTGTCCTAATAACAAACAGACCAATGGCAAACTGTAAACCAAGACCCCAGAAGACAGTGCTCCATCTCACCTAATCACAATTCAACACAAACAAGCATTCTGTTAGCAAACACATTAAGTGTGCATTTGTGGATGATTAAAATCAATAGACCTGATTAAATTACAATTTTTAAAGGCAACGCTCCCAGTCTGTCTTAAATTTCAAAAAAATTAATTTTAGGCCTTAAAAAGTCTTAAATTCATTAAAATATTGTGTTGTAGGTCTTAAATCATTTTAAAAAGGTTTTATTTTAAATATTAGCTACCCAATTGGCCCAACACACATCCAATTATCAACAATACATCTTAATATACTGTTTTTCTTTTGCAGAGATACAATCACAACTGCTTTTAGACATTTTTTTACAGAACATTCTCTAAATTAAATTCCCTAATTAGGAAAAGAAAACTATAAACAATTGCATAATTCCTCTTGGCAATAATAGGACAATATATGCCTTTATATGATCTTCTGTTTGTACAAAAACTATTTACAGAAGTAAGGGGGAGTGAACATAATATTTGTAAATAGGCATAATAAGCAAGTTTTGGTCCCACTTTATATTGTGGCCTTAACTAATATGTACTTACACAGAAATTAATAGTTTGTTACAATGTACTTATTGTGTAAATACATGTAGTTATTGTGTACTTATTCTTGCTTAAAAACCTGTATGTAATTACATCTGTAGTTAACTTCTGTAATTACATTTGTTAATACATTGCTGACCATTCCCTACACCTTAACCCACCGTTAAACCAACCCATACCACCAAACCTGTCCCTAACCCAACCCCTATCCCAACTCAAGAGCACCACAAGTGTTCTCAAATACTTTATGAACACAGTAAGTACATTGTATTTATTTTTTGATGTAAGTACATAGTAGTTAAGGACACTTAATATAAAGTGGGACCCAATTTTTGGGACCCAAAGTACATTTGGTTTAAAAAAATTATTGAGAAAAAATGACACGTTAAAACAGGGAGCTAATAGATTTTTTAAGCAAAAACAAATTCCATTGAAAAAAAAAGTGTTCATCTCTTTGTAAGTCTAAAATTCCCTTCATAATGGTCTTAAAAGAGTCCTGAAAAGTCTTAAATTTGATTTGATGAAACTTGCAGAAACCCTGACTCTTTTTTTTTCTTTTTAATTTTACAACTCCTTTATAGTTATACAGTGAAGCTGTATCGTTTTTAAATCCATTCAAATAAACTATGGAGTACTTTTAAGAGCAGCTTAGCTTAGCATAAATCATTGAATTATAATAAACACTTGGGATTGGACTGCTCAAAAATTAAAAGTGTTTCCATAATTTTTCTATTTAACCCTTTCACACAAACATTTAAATACTCCTGCTGACCCCCCTGTGTGAATTTTTTTTTTATGTGACCATTCTTTAGAGTGCAGCGATTTAAGTTTCCATGGTGATACATCAAGCATATCACGCACACCACAGCCCTGATGATTTATGTATATAATGTGGTTTGTTTCTTTTTTCCTTTGCTGCAAATATTGAGAAATGTCCTAAATATCTTATATTTCAATTCTCAGAACATTCAGCTTAAAAATTATCATATTGTTTGGTCAATGATGGATTAAGCTTACGTAATAGTCTACCCTGCAGGTGAGATCAGAGCTGCTGCATTTACAACATAATTCATAATTTTCTCCCAAACTACATGAAAGTTAGTGGCTGTTTAACTTGGAGAGTATTCCAGTAAATGTATTAGTAACACAAACAGTGTGTATTTGATGTAAATAAAGCACATCATCAAGTTACACTTAAAAATAATTATCATTGCCATCTTATAGACTTCTGCGTGTATTTTACAAAACTTAAATGTTTTGCTAGTACTTATGTGTATATGAATGTCTAAAACTAAAAAATAAATGGTTTTTGTTTTGGAAACAATGGTAAATGTGAATCAAAGGGCTCTTTTTTGATGATCCATGCACAAAGCGCAGAGCACAGGGTGCAAACACTTTCTGGGCGTATTTTTGCTAATATAAGGACGGAAAAATCCGCTTTGCGCCGTAGCGCATGGTCTAAAAGGGTTGAGTTTATTTTCTTAATGAGTTATAGGTGTGTTTTGAGAATAAACCAATCAGAGTATTATCTCATATTCCCTTTAAGAGCCAGTTGCATCGTGCCATAAGCGCATTTGCTATTTACATGACGTAAAGTAAGTGGAAGTGGAAAAACTGAGCATTTCACTAGCAAGAAAAAAGTTAAACAGAGCATCTACCGTGCGAGAATGAGAGATAAGGCATTTTATAATCTAGATTCACTTTCATAAAACATAAACTTAAATATGGATATAAAAATGATACTGCTAATAATGATAACATTATACAAAAGCAAAGTGAACGAACTGAAAAAGCCTCCCGAGATGAAGAAAGTATGAAGGCAGTGGTTTTTAAATTCATGTAGGCTAGAAAATCCTTTGTTTTGTAATATTTTAATCCTTTATATTTATATCCTATATATATATCCTTATTATATACTAGATATATATATATATATCCCTAATATTTTATATATTTTTCATATGTAAAGATATTTGCGTATTGCTCTACTTCTTGTGTGTTTTAAACAGTGTGTAAGCCAGGCGCACTCTACGCCAGACAACAGACCGACTTTGTTCTGGTCTAAAGAACAGACTATTATAGTTCCTCAAAATAGCAACGTGCCAAAACACGCCTGCTTTTTTAGACCAGAATGCTTATGGGCGCACATATAAGCGCAAATGCATTTGCTATTTAAACAGCGTGGCGCAACACCTCAAAACGACTCTTGCGCCGAGCTGAAAGTAGCAAGTAACAATTGCGTCGCGCCTTACGCCACATTGCACAGGGTGTATGATAGGGCCCAAAGTGATTACATGACAGGCACCATGCGCCTCTCTGAATTCAGCAGTTGATGACATGTTCTAATCACACCATCATGTGCTACAACTGATGAAAAATTAAAAATTGCAATTTTCTAGGTCGATATGGCTATGAACTATACTCTCATTCTGGTCTAATAATCAAGGAACTTTGTTGCTGAACCATGGCTGGGCAACGATTACGTAGCAACTGAAAATAGACCCCAGCTATAGGTAGCTAGGTTAAAGTACTGCATAATATGATTGCCTGTAGTCTAAAGCAGTGGTCTCAAACTCAATTTCTGAAGGGCCACAGCTCTACAGATTTTAGTTTGAACCATCTCCAATGCACACCTGCTTAAAAGTCTCTAGTAGTCTTGAACACCTTGATTAGTTGAATCAGCGGTGTTTGATTAGAGTTGGAGCAAAACTGTGCAGAGCTGTGGCTCTCCAGGAATCCAGTTTCAGACCTATGGTCTAAAGCCTCCTTTACACTACAAATACAATCATTTGTATGTAGAGTGAGATATATAGTTTATGTTCTGTAAATAAATAAATAAAAAATTCTCTTCGACATCCAAAATTTAATTGGACATGGTACGTCTACGAAAAATGTCATGGACTTTCAATAAATAAGACATTATTTCACTATGAAAAGAGTTTCACTATAAGAAAGCAGGTGCAAACAATTCTGTTGCTTAAAAATAATGTCATTAATCTGTCAGAGATTGTTCTCAGGAAGCTTCCCAAAAACAAATGAATGGAAATTCCTATGAAGATATCGGTGAATGAGGCCCAATTTCTATTTAACTGTTTTATTGTTGGAAAATAATAGGAGGAATAGCCTCTACAATGTGATAAGGTTTGCAGGAATTCCAAAGTCTAAATTAAAATGCATTTTGAGATAAGTACGTTCAATAAAGCATGTAATGCAGGCGCGTGTGTTTTATCACTCACTGCAGTTCGGTGTGCAGAGAAGAGAAATATTGCAACAATGAACAGACAGACGCCACCAAAAGAGATGAGCTGCTCTGGGCGCTTTCGTGTGTCGACTGCCAGCCATGCCACCAACAGACCAACCACAATTACTATGAATACCCTGCAAACATACAGCATCACACAGACAGGGGTTCAGTATAGACTTATGTACAGTTTAGAGCAAAACTAAACCAACAGAAGTTGCTAATTTCTAGATTGGACATTGGACATTTACAATTTAA